CGCCGTCGAGTCCTTGCAGTTTGCTTCTACTGGTGGCAGTCTAAAAATGTATCATTCGTAATTTCAATGTGTGTAGATATTCTATTATTAGCTTATAGACAACTACTGCTTCTTCATTCTATCTATATTTCTATTGTATGCACCATTTTATGCTCATATATAGTATTTGTATTACTTTTTTTCTATTTTTTTTTACTCATATCCAGCTCATTTAGGTAATCAGTTAGATAGTTACATAAGCGCATTGAATAAACCTGTACGCGTTGAACGTCTATCCAATCGTAGTGGTTTAATACGTGCCCGCTTATATGGTGCAAACATTTCCACTGGTAAAACACTGACATTCTTAGATGCACATTGTGAAGTAACTGTTGGTTGGCTAGAAACTTTATTAAGTCATATTGCAGAGAATACAAAACGTATAGTTTGCCCAATTATTGATGTAATCAGTCATGATACATTTGAATATCTTCTTGGTAAGTTATGTTTGTTTCTTTTTCTTTAAGTTGTTATTTTCGATTTATGATTCATAAGAGTTGTGTTGATATTTTTACGGTTTACGTAATACCGCCCACGACAACTAAGACAATACAGCACCTCACTGAAATTTTCTCCCGAAATGGCATACCAGATATGATCGTATCTGTCAATGAGTCTCAATTTACCTCTACCCAATTTCAAATATACGGTCACCAACATACCATCCACAGTCTAATGGGCAAGCGGAAAGGTTTGTGGATAGGTTAAAAGATCACTGCTTCAGTCAAAAGGTGAGGGAACACCAATCGACGCATTATAAAAGTTCTTGTACGTTTATCGAACAACACCGAATGAGTTTTTACCGGAGCAGAAGTCCTCCGCAGAAACCCTGTTGGGAACAAGACTGGAGACGATCCACAGCATGGTGATCCGACTAATGCATCAACATCAGTAGAGACAAAGTCGGAAAGGCAATCCACATACGAAGTGAGATATCCCATATTCGCCTTTGTTTACAGACCAAACCATGGTCCTTGGACAGGAGTGCGAGTGGTCAGAAAAGTTGGGCGAGTTATGTACGAGATAGAGTTAGGAGGCGAAGGTGATCACGTCATCGAAATCAGGTACTCAAACGGCTAGCCCCAGATCGCGCTTCAGCAGAAGTAAATCATTCCCTTGAAATCCTGCTAGATACCTTCAGCCTACATGCAGTATCACCACGAGAAAGAGCTCAAAAACAAGCTGATCTGCGTTCACCGACAGCAGCAAACAACAGTCAAGTTTCAAGCCGACCCCATGAACGTGCGCTATTAAAAAGGGGAGGAGTGTTGGATCCCCAGAACTCACTTGAAAAGGTCCTAGTTTTGAATTTTTATGCTTTGGCGCATAAGTCGCTTAGTTGGCCTTGAGCTTACATTTCCCACTTGGAAAATCCTTGACTGTCATTGGCTGATGGATCTTTTTAGTACGTTATTTTGTGGCTCTCCCAACGACGTTGGTTTCATTGCATAAATAAGCTTGATTTATGTGCTTAACAACGTCGAATTTTCTGGGTGCCTGTAGAATACATTCTCTACTCCTTATCAAGATTTCTTGCTATAGTTAGCTGGGCCGTCGGCAATAGAATCAGAATAGCCTATCGTGTCACTGTATCATTGCTTCATCTGTTACTGAATAAAGTGAACTCGTAATGGCATTCATGCCTATCAGTTGACGAGCATATCAGGCAATGAATAGTGCCCCTGTCTTTTCGAATTCTCCCTGTTTCATTTAGTCGAACAGCACACAAGAGACTATCAACTGTAATCCAGTCTAGGATAGCTAGTTCTCATTTAGAATTCAATGTCATGCCTACACCTTGCATGCTGTGTTTAAGTGTGCGCGATGAGGTGTTTTCCTAATGAGCGAATTTTGGAAGATGATAAATTGACTGTTTGTTAATCAACCTTAAACGACTTTAGTGTATCCACTTGATGTTCTCCGGGAGATTTCTGGTGAGATCGTATTTCTAAAAACCTTTGACCCACTTAACCTTAGATTTTTTATAATATGTCCTTTACAATTGTCTTAGGTCCTTCTTCCTAGTATACCAATGTAACTACATTGACAGAATATATGTGAATTTGTATACCCAGTTGGGAATACAATATGAAAGAGGTACCTATCGACCTTTGATTGTGTTATAAAACATGTTGTCGTAGACAAACAAATCAATTTAGCTGCAGGCAGGATATGTTCTTATCAATTCAGTATTTAGTCTTAGGTCGATTCGCACTGAAATCACATCATCTTTAAATTTAAGTTGGATTAAAGGAAACATTTTCTTTATTATAGTTTCTTTGGACTTTTTTACCAATCTTCACTCTTTTCATATTTCTCAATAAATCTCTGCGGATATCTATTGTTCCTTAAACAAATTTTAACATTCAATTATGTATGTTCTAGTGTATCAGCAGCATATATAGATCAGTTAGTCAGTTAGTTACAGCTTAGAACTTCGTACATACATACATCTGTTCAAGTTGCCATACCATGTTAGCAATTGTCATTTCAAATCCCATAGTGGTAGATGTAGTAGAAATATTAACGGTAATGAGAAAGATTACGCTCCGAAGTTATTGTTCAATAGGTGTAATCCAGTGAAAGATCAAGGTGACAAGGAATTCATAAGATTAGGATATGAGAGAATACAAAGAATGAATTTACCTGCGCCATTGCAAACGATTTTGAACCATCGATTACTATCATCTCACGGATCCCAACCAGGTAGTCTACACCTACCAACCTGACTCTCAGTCCACTTGTCAGTGAGTTCATGGATTTGTGCCATGTTTTGGTCTTGCCGCCCCTAGCTTTCTTCCAATCTTTTCCTACACCACAAAACATAACTTCACGATGTAGTCAGTGGTCGGGCACACGTAACACATGTCAAAATCACATCATCAATCGATCTGCCACCCTTGCCTGGTACCCAGTAGCATTTCTTATCCGATGATCCCAGGATATCCGAGCGATGCATCGAAGACAACCATTATCTAAAACTACTAACCTACGAATATCCTCTACTCTTACTGGCTAAGTTTCGCATCCATATAGTAGGACGGAGAAAACTGTTGTACAGTAAACCGATCCTTTGTTTGTTAGCCGGATATCTCGCCGCAGTATGTATTGCGTGAAATGATATTTCGAATCATTGCCTTCTTGTAGCTGAATGAATAAATGCTATTGAAATTCAAGTTAGCTCCTTTCCATATATGTCTTTTTTTCAATTAACTAAACATTGTACACTTTATATTTATGCCTTAATTTTAAAAATAAATATTATTTTTGTTGATAACATCATCATCCTCATCAATTCAGGTTCCGATCGTACATGGGGTACATTTGATTGGCATTTTACTTTTCACTGGGAAACTATTGTCGATAGAGAAATAGATCGTATTCATGATAATCACAATGTTCCAATACGAACACCTACTATGGCTGGTGGTTTATTCACCATAACTCGAGAATATTTTTATCAGGTAATAAAAGTATCTTTTCTGTGTGTTATTACGTGTTTTTTTGAAATTACAATGAGTTTAACATTTGTACAACCAGATCAAACAAGAAAAAACACACGAAACTATATTGAAACATTGAGCCAATCAGAAGTAGCAAAATGTGAAGGTCATTTGATGACCATAAAAAATCGTCGTGTCGGACTGATACATATCATTCATTGGTCAATAAATGGCTACATTTTCTGAGGACTAAATATATATATATATATATATATATATATATATATATATGGAGAGAGAGAGAGGCTTTCACTTCTATTTTTGCATTCACACTGAAGTTGTCAGTTTGGATGGTTATTACTTGTTACATTCAAATCTCCGGACTCGCACTGAATAAAAAATATGACGTATTCATTGTTCAATTCTCCTAGGTTTTCAGTGCTACTGTAAAATTTTTTGCATATAGTTCATGATTCGAATGAAATTCTACAATATTTATAATACTATACACTAACAGTAAATGAATGAATTTCATGTAGTGCATGAGACGACAGTAGTGAAGAATTAAACTTTTAAAAATGAATTATTCTTTGGAATTAATTTTTATTGATCAAAATGACAAATGTTGATATAATTCGAAAAAACAGATGTAAAAATTTGAGGTCAACTCAATAAATTATGGTTACATTTAATTGTACTGCGTTATTTGTATTATGAATGTAGTTGAGAGTTATCTACTGAATCTTTATGAGTATAAAATTTAGAAAAGGCTCGATTGGCTTCTTCCAATTTGCGTCATTTATGGCGTAGGCGAAGTATCCGTTTACTGAGCGAAAGACGAATTTACTGCACAACAATTCGCTCCGTCCTACTATACGAATGCGAAACATGGGCTTTAAGAATAGAGGATATTCGAAGGTTACTATTATTCGACCATATGTGTCTTCAAAACAGTGCTCGTATGATTTGAGACTATCGAGTAAGCAATGCTGTTGTTAGGAAACGGGTACTAGGTAAGTGTGGAAGAGCAGTAGATGAAGTATTGAAACTTCATCAGTTGAAGTTGTGACATGTGTTACGTACGCCTAACCACAGAGTGCCTCGTCGAGCTATGTTTTGTGGTGTAGAAATAGGTTGGACGAAAGCTAAGGGCGGTTAAACAAAAGCATGGCACAAATCCATGAAGTTACGGAGAAGTGGACTGAGTCATGTTAATGTATACTACCTGGTTGGTGGTCCGTGACACGATAGTAACCTATGGTTAGAGATTTTGTGTGACATCGTTCAAAATAGTTTTCAATGGCACAAGGGGCATCCATTCTTTATGTTTTCTTAAATTCTAATCTGAATTCCTCTCTGTTTTTGAATTGATTCTTCTCATATCCTATAGCTTGGTGCCTATGATGAAGGTATGGAAATATGGGGTGGTGAAAATATTGAATTATCATTTCGTGTTTGGCAATGTGGCGGTGAGCTGTTAATTGATCCATGCAGTCGTGTTGGACATGTATTTCGTAAATCATCTCCTTATACATGGCCTGGTGGTGTTAGTCATATATTATATAAAAATTTTGTACGTACCGCTTTAGTTTGGTTAGACCAGTATAGTCGATTTTATTTCATGCTAAATCCATGTAAGTAGTGAATTGAATTAAATTATACGTATTTTTTGTTGATTTTACGTTTGTTAAACATGTTGTTAGTGTGAGTAGTTGTTGGTTTTCTACATAAAATAGTTTGATTATTAACTGTTTACACAAAAAAATATCTTATGTGTACTTAATCACCGCCTACTTTTACGCCCTATTCTCACAAACATAATGATAATAATCATGAATAAATCATTGTTAGACTAATATTTTAAGAAACCTGGATGCACATGAATGGCTGTTTCATCCTTAGTACGGGATTTGTCTGTGACATTGAGTATTGATTCATGATTTCAAGCTAAAACTAACATCTTCATAATACTTGGATGCAAAAATCTTTAAAAAATTTGTGCTCACTAGTGACTAAGAAGCTACATGAGGAAATGCTCGGACTTCTAGTGAGAAGATGTGACCAGTGGAGTTCACCACCTATTGGGTGGTAGGCAGTAACTCTACCGAACGCGAATGGGTGAAGTTGTGCAAAATACCCAGATTGATCAGAGTTAGACATACACACCATTGGATGCCGTCTCGGTGGTCCGGAGGTTAAACGTTCGTGCACCAGACCAAAGGTCCGATGAGTCCCTCCATAACAGAACAAAACAACCGTCTTTCAATGCCTCCAGGTTCCTCCTATTAGTGGCAGTCTAACAATGATTGATTCACAATTTCAATGTAAACACAACGATCTCCATAATTCTGTCATGAAAAAACATTATTTCTAGTCATACTGATAGATTTTTGTACAACAATGATAATGATTGACATCAGTGGCAGAATTGAACAATAAGTATTAATTTTGAAAAGAATCCACTTTTTTTTAAGTAGACTGACACATTGTGTTATTTTGAACTATTGACCTAATTCCTAATCCAGTGTCAATCTTATCCTTTTCACAAACCATTATTATTATTATCAAATAATTAAAAATCATTTAATTGACTGTAATTAAAATCATAATTACTCATCAGTAAGTTACTCTGGCTGGATGCAAATCAAACAGAATTAAATGAAGTTGCGCAACTCAGTGAATTGATCGAAGATATCCACTCACTAGTCCATGGATTAGGCGTTCACGTGCAAGACCGAAGGTCCTGGGTTTGAATCCTGCGAGGTGCAGGAGTCGTGCATGCGCACTGCTGATGAGTCCCATACTAAGACGAAACGATCGTCTTTCAGTGCTTCCAAGTTTCTAATGGTTCGCCTAACATTGATCGATTCATGTTTTCTAATGTGTAACTTAACAATCTTCATAACCCCGTAATAGAATTAAATAAGTTTAGCTGATGTAATCCTGATCAGATAATAATAATAATAATAATAATAATAATAATAATAATAATAGTCAACACTCAAAAACCAAGCACGAATCAGATTAATCTGTCTATCTGTTTAGCTCATATTAAAATTTCGATTCAATGTCATCACTGTGATTAAAAACTTAGAAAGCATGTTAGTTTTCTTTCATCTATTCATCCATTGACTTTGAATTCGATCGCGCTTATGATTAACACAGATGCATAATAGTTTAACAGTGAAATCCATCTATCTATCTATCGCACACACACACACACACAAATGTGTTTCGGACTTGTACGTTTAGCTGGATGGTATCAGCCATACATCTCAGAGATGATGTTCACTGTCACGAATTGAACTTCGATACTGTGTTCTTTTTTAAATAGTATGACACTATGCAGACAGCTGTTCATTTGGGCAACTCTATTCAAACAATAATCAAATACTCTCTACGCTACTCTCTCTCCATTTAATCAATCTAATTCAATGTTCAATTGTGTTTTTGTTTTTACTAAATCAATCTATTGGTAATGAATACACTATTTGTTTATATCCATAAATAAGGTTTAAATCTGTTCAGAAACACCTTCACAGTTGAAATAATAATAATAATAATAATAATAATAATAATAATAATAATAATGAACAAGAAAAGAATATTCTCTCCATATTTGAAACTTGATTCGATTGTTTTCGATTGTTTATTTAGTAATCTAATACAATTTTTTGACTGACTGACTGATTGATTGATTGATTAATTGATTGTAAGAAGTAAACATTTTAGCATGTAGATTATTTTGTATTTCCTTGAAACAATCGTCTTGTTTTGTGTATTTACAAACATGTAAATAAATATTTGTTTGTTGACGTTACACACACACACACGCCCACATGTTTAGTTTTAGTAAAATAAAATAAGCAATCTACTGTAACAAGTGATGAGTAGCAAATCTTTTCTTATTCACATATAAGGTAGGTGTAGGTGTGGTGTTCTAATTCAATACACCACTATGGGATTTGAATTGACAATTCAATTCCTCTGTAGGCTAATGCTGTTGTATGAAAACTTGAACTCATTTACGTACATTAACGAGGTTCTACGTAGGCGTTGACCGACGTATTAGTCAGTATAACATTTGTAGCCTTTGTTGAATTCCATTGAACTGGTCAATGTTAGACTATCTTTGGAAACCTCGAAGTACTAAACGATAGTTTTGTCCTCGCACAGGACTCGTCATTAGCGCTCATTCACAATTTCGCGAGCATGAATCTAACTCTAGACCTACAGTCTTGTGCGTGAACACTTGACATGTTGACTGCTTAGTCAGTATCCAAAAGTTTTAATGTCTAATTTCAATCAACCCTCGATATTGCCCAACTATCATCCATTGTCTTGATCGGGTAACTAACTACCTCACACCCGACTCGGTGGTGAGTAAACGTTCTTTACTGATTGACACATGTTTGGATACCATTCTTTTAAAACTCCTTGGTCACTGTGCACTTACAACCACATCAATGATTGAATCCGAGATTCCTAGTCTTCATTGCTATTCTCTTTATGTTTAGACCAGTGAGTCGGCATACCAATGGTTCACATTTCTAAATTCAGTGTTTTCTGACTGCATTATTTAAAAGCTTGTTTCAATATTCAGTCACCTATAGTATTGAATTGTTTAATATCTTGGTTGATATTAAGATAACACATGATATGATTCAAAAGGCATCATCATCATCATCATTAAAAGTACTCGATAGTGTGATGGGTGCTACTCAAGAAACAGCCTATAAGTAGTATAGAGCAGAGTGTTGCCTAAGATTTACCGCCAGAGAGAAAAGAGTATCAGCAAAATCGATGTGCACAGTATGACTGGAGTATTTTGAAGACCAGAAGAGGGGAGCGCTAGAAGACAGTGACAATAATCTGTTTGGAATGTTGAACATGCAAATAAATGATTGAAGACTACTTGTGTACATACACTATTGTTTCGTGAACAACCCATCCGGTCTTGACTTGTTTGTACGTTAAAATAAATAGGAAGGTAGTATTAAAATGGTTTATCATAGTTTCTCTGATCAAACCATGAACAGGTGGTTTATTACAAACTTTTTTCAAATACAAGAAACAATAGTTATTTGGCTCTAATTCACTTGTATTTAACTGACAAGATCGAATTCAATGAGGGGAATTATTGAAAGTATACAATCGATTACTCCGGTTTCTTTTTAGCTGTATTTGCAACGATCATCTTAACTGCTCTGTGATTCATATATCTATCAGTTGTAACGCCTTTGTACTTTATGCTGACAATTATGATGTACTCTCTCTAGTGTATGGCTTCGTGGCCGAATCCTCAGAGTTCTAGTAAACAGTTGTGACAAGTGTGTGGGGCAGTTAGCCACCAAAGACAATAGATCAAGTCGCTGAATATCATGAATTGATTGAAATTATATATTAACATTGTTAGATGCAAACTCACTGGTCTAGAGTTTAAGCATTTGCGCGCGAAATCGACTGACCTTGGTCTGATCTCTGACTGTGGTTTCGTGCAAATGCACGCTACTAATGAGTGTCCACGTACCAGGAGAAATCGGTCGTCCAATGCATCCAGGTTTCGAATAATTGTCTAACATTGATCGGGATTCATGAGTTCAGTGATAACCATGCAGTGTGATTGTTAGAGTTCTTACTTTCTTTTGTAGGTCGGTTTAAATCAAGCTCCATTCATCTATGGGTTTAGATAATCCGAAATTATACCTAACCTTTACATATATATAAAACAGAAGGTAAATGCTCAGTTCACTTGTGTTGGGGATGTTAAATCCCCAGAACTCGCTTGATAAATATATTTATTTTGGATTTATTTCACGAACCGATCAGTTGACCTTGAGATCACATTTCCCACCAGAAAAATCTTTGACTGTGATTGGTCACTATTTTATTTGTGTGCTATTTTTGTGACTGTCCCAAGGACGTCTCTATGGAGTATAAATAAACACGGTTTGAGTGTTTTCATTCATTGTGTGCTGGCTTGGTGTTTGTAGAATACACTTTCTACGCTGTATCAAGACTTCTTGCTGGTACAATTGGATCACAGTTGCCTACCTCGACGCTGGTTCATTGTTTTGTTCTCTTTTTTCGACCAAGGTGAACACCCATAATAGTTTAAGCATAGCTAGAGACGAGCATAACAACTTGTAAATGACTTCATGGATTTATGCCATGTTTTGGTTTGTCCGCGCTTAGCTTTCTTACAGCTCCTACTCCTACACCACCTAACCTTTATATAAAACAGAATGTAACTTTAACTAAATGAGTTATAATTTATATTGTGCACTATCATAATGATAATGATAGTATCTGCCACATTACGCATCGCTCTAGTTTATTTTAAATCAATGACCTTGAATGTGTTTGTGATTATTTATTCTCTCTTCTGTTTTTATTTCTATTTCCAAATCAAGCTGCCCTATCAGTGGATTATGGTGATATTTCTGAGCGTAAAAAACTACGTCAACAATTAAAATGTAAAAGTTTTCAATGGTATTTACAAAATATTTATCCGGAATCTTCAGTTCCAATTGATGTGATAAGATTAGGTGAAGTAAGTGTTTGTTTTTTTTAGTATTTTTGGATTGTAGAGTTGAGTTGAGTTTCATTGAAATCATGAAGTGATCAATGTTAGAGTACTTACTGTTGACAGCCTCAAAGTACTGGATGACCATTTCGTCTCAGTATGGTACTCATTATCCCGCTTGAAATTTTGTGATTGCGTATTGTCTCCTACACAATTCTTGGATAAACCCAAGGGAATTCAAATCGACAACGACGAAGCGATGATATCCTTCCACGTAACAGCCTTATTCACCTCAATGGAGCCAAGCTTAGCTAAAGCACCTCTTTCCCTGCGCCTCGCCAACGACACATATCTGCAAAAATATACGAAACTTCAGAGCCAAAATCTGCCAGAACTCATCGATCACCACCACAAGCATTGTTGACAAGTCCCGGTACTAGGAAGAAACAGCCATCCAGTACATATAGATATCCGATGGTGGTCTAATCTTGGTCTGTTCATGGTTTCAATGAAATTCCTTTGCATTTTAGTTAGCTGGATAATGAAAACCTCAACATTTCAGAAGAAGCAAGAGATACATTGGAAAACTTGGATGCAAATACCTCTGGAAGTGGTAAAAATGTTTATACATCTTGACAATGTCAATGATGACAGAAGAGAAATCTGATGTAGATGTAAAGACACGGTTAAGCAAAGCAAGGGTAGCATTTCTAAAATTGAAAAACATTTGGAACTTTAAAACTGTCCAACAACAAGACAAATATCAAGATAGTTCTATTTTATGGAACAGAAACTTGGGGAGCTAGAATGACCACCATCCAAAAGATACAAGTGTTCATGAACAGTTATTTACCCAAGATAATCCGGATTCGTTGGCCAGAGAACAAACCAGATTTAAAATGAGTAGGAAATCAGGAAGAAGTGCTGGATGTGGATGGGACACATATTGAGTAAAGCACCCAAGTGTGTCACAAGACAAGTCCTCTCTTGGAATCCTCAAGCATATAGGAAAGGAGGAAGATGAAAAAACACATATAGCCGATAGTTGGTAGACAGACATGAACAGAATGAGCAGTAATTGAGTGGAACTGAAAAGGAAGGCCCAAAACAGAGTAGATTGGAGAATGCTACTGGGTGGTGGCCTTTGCCCCAGTATTCATAAAAGGCGTAACCAAACAAGTAAAAAGGAATGATTATAAATGAAATTAACACTAGATTAATTTTTACAAAATTTGCACAGTAAACAAATACAAGCGTTACATTGTGTTATATCTCTACATTGACCAGCACATAGAGACGACCTTTGAGTAACCGATACGTAACAAGAATGAAGACGATTCAGCTCAATACTAACCTGCTCGAACTCAGAGGGAGAACACGAGACTAATGTCTATCAGTTCAAAATTCTTTACTATAATTCAGACATTCATATATGAATATATATACACACATACGCGCTTGCGCAACCAGATCACATTGTACTAGTAAATGGAAATTAACTACTAATACGTGAGTGAGCCAAAGATGGCTGTGTGTATGGAAAAGACATAAATAATAATTCATGATTTCGAAAAGTGACTCAACAATCTCCACAACCCCATAATGCAATTACCTGTGGTCACTAGTGACTAGCTCAATGAAGAATCTTCTCCGAGTTCTAGTGAGAAGTCGTGACCACCGGAGTTCACAACCCTGTTCGGGTGTGCTCACCGAAGACAGGGTATGAGGTTGATCGAAGTTAGACATCTAACACTGTTAGATACTGGCTCGGTGGTCCCTGAGGTTAGGTGTTCTCTCTCAAGACCTAAGGTCCTGTCTTCGAATTTAGCGAAGTGCAATGAGTCTTGGATGCGCACTGCTGATGAGTCCCATACCAGGACGAAACGACCGTCTTTCAGTGCTTCCAGATTTCTTCTGACGGTGACCCAACATTAGTCGATTCATGATTTCAAAAAAATAATAGACTGACAACAAGAAATATGAATAGAATGACATGTTTACGTGTATGCGTAACAATTGGCGACGGGGATAGGATCACATTGATCCTTTGAGACTTGGATTATTACCCGGGCAACAGATTAACTAATGAAGATGTTGATGGATACCAAGCTGTATTGTGACACGACTATGGTGGATCAAGTCAATCTGACGTTGTGTATTGCATCTGTCAACTAACCAGAGTAGCTGTGCCTCCTGCAACACCTAGTCCACCTCGCTTCAGCTCAATCCGACAGCTGATCTAAAATTACTCGGTTCGATTGGTTAAAACAGCTAACATTAGTAGATGTCCCATGAAGTATGTAAGAAGAAGCCAACCCGCTCAGAAGTAGCCAAGACTGGTGGTCCTCATCTCCGTTCCAGAAATATCCTCCACGACAGCAGCAAACAACAGTTCAGATCAAAATAAACCGTCGTATGTCGCTTCAATTTCTTCAGAGGGAGGTGTTAGGATATTTATCCAATATCCTAAGAGAATTCTTGGTCACTTACCCTTGGTTAATTCCTACTGCTCAATTTTATGATCGTCCTAGATATCAATGTCACGCAGATGTAGGCTACCTGGTTGGGGTCCGCGAGATGACAACAATCGATGGTTATAGACCCTGAATGACATGGCTGAAAATCGTTTGCAATGGCGCAGTTGCATTTATTCTTCGTGTACTATGGAATTCTAACCTTCTGAATGCCTCATCACCTCTATCTTTCTCTTTCTAAATTTACCTCACTGAATTATACTTCTTGAATAACATCTTCGAACCCTAATCTCTCCAATTACTTCTAATACTTTTACTACCCTTACTACTATGAGATTTGAATTGACCACATTAGCATTTCTGTGTTAATGTATGGTATGACAACTTGAAGTGATGTACTTACGTAAGTACGAAGTTTTACGTTGCTTTTGATTGACTGATTGAAATAACACTGCCGCGTCACGAGAAGGTAGTGAATAGGACTTCTGTGATAGTGGCCATACATGTTTGTCCATATAAGAACATTCGCAAATGAAAAGCCAGCCTTTCTTACTCACGGCCAGAACGAATCAAGGCTAAACACTTGTGGCTGTGAACAAAGAATCTTTTCCATAACCATTAATACTTCTCCTATGGAATTTGAATTGACAATTGCGTCTCTGTGTGTGCTAATGTGGTATGACAACTTGAACTGATGTACGTACGTACGACGTTCTACGTTGTAACTGACTGACTGACTGATTTAGTGCATTTCCTTTTGCCACTGACCTAAAATTGAACATTATTGAGTATAATATTTTTTTTTACACATACATGTATGTGCTAATATCGTTTTTTACTTGTTTTCGCCCATGTAAATAAATAAATTGTTTTCTTTTTATCAGGTTATTTTACATTTTATTTTCTATTGATTCATCCTCATAACTGGAAAAAAAATAAAAATCAAATAACAACATTCGACGTAAATAAATAAATAAACATTATCGATTTCCTAGTGGAACACATCATGATTTCATGTTGTGTGTGTTGACATTCCTTTTTTTGTTTAAATCAAGTTGAATTGAATTTGAATCGTTCAAATATGATCTCTATTATGGAAAGCTACTATCATATGGTGGCCTGTTGACTGACAAAATCTCAGCACGGATACAGAAGGCTCGATTAGCTTTTGCTGACTTGCGTCATTTATGGCGTAGATAAGATATCCGTTTGATGACTAAAGGACGAGTGTATTGTGCAGTAGTTAGCTCCGTTCTCATAGATGGATCCGAAACATGGCCGGTAAGGGTAGAAGATATTAGTAGGTTATTAGTATTCCACCATAGATGTCTTAGAAGCGTTGTTCGTATACCCTGGAACACCCGAGTGAGCAATGCTATAGTTAGGAAACGAGTACTAGTTAGGGAGGGCATATCAATAGATGAAGTATCGAAACTTCATCAGTTGAGGTGGTTGGGACATGTGTTACGTATGTCTAACCACCGACTGCCCCGACGAGCTATGTTTTGCGGTGTAGGAGTAGGTTGGAAGAAAGCTAGGGGCGGCCAGACCAAAACATGGCAGAAAGCCATGAAGTCACTGACAAGTGGACTGAGTCATGTTGATAGATGTAGACTACCTGGTTGGTGTAAGCGAGACGAAAGTCACCAATAGTTAGAGACCTTGAACGACATGGCTCAAAATCGTTTGCAATGGCGCAAGTGCATCCATTCGTTGAGCTCTCTCAAATCCTAATCTTCTGGATTGGTCAGCACCTCTACCTTTGTCTTTCTAACCTTATTTCACTTAATTATACTTCTTGAATAATATCTTCAAATCCTAATCTTCTCCATTAGCAGTAATTCTTCTACTATCTCTCCCACTATGGGATTTGAATTGACAATTGCGTCTCTGTGCTAATGTAGTATGTAGTACCTACGTATGAAGTTCTGCGTTGTAAGTGACTGACTATCATGCGGTTTTCAGGTCTTTTTCTCGATAACTAATCAGTCATTAAAACAAATCAATTCGAACATGAGTCACAATTTGATGAGTCCTACACCATGACGAAACGGCCGTCTTTTAGTGATGCTCGGTTTTCAAAGGTGGTCTAACAATGATTGATTCATGATTTCGACAATAAATAATCACTTTATTCAAGGTTATATGTTTGATGCAATATGGAGTTCGCAACATTGAATATTTTAACAAGTTTCTTTTTAAATACATTATTTCCAACCAATGCAATGTCTGAAAGTGTACTTTTTTATATCTTGTGAAGCGATAGGTTGTAAACTTTTTCATATGCGCACCTAAATAGATTATGTGATTAATAGACATAATTGACATATTAAAACAAACGTGACATGGTAACTAACCTTTTGAAATTTTTTTTAACCCAGATAGATAGATAGATAGTCAAACTATGAAATGATGACATCAAAATGGATGATTATGCAATGTTCATAAATGAAATAACAAACCGTTAATGCTAATTGTTCAATCTTCAATTTTTTTTTCTTTTAAAAAACTAGATTCGTCATAGATTAACTGGACATTGTATTGATTCACTTGGTCATAAAGTGGATGAAACTGTCGGTGCTTCACATTGTCATGGACAAGGTGGTAATCAAATATTTGCAATCACTGAACTTGGTACAATACGTGTTCATGTAGGTTGTATAGATGGTGGAAATAATCGTAATCTCGAGACTGGAGTATTAGTTTTTAAAAAATGTAAAAAAAATAGTATTGGTCAAAAATTTGAATTTATCAATGATGTAAGTTAATTTGTTGGCATGCATTGTTCGTTTATGTCATAATCATGTCAAGCTCATATGATTTTGAGGTAGTGAAGAAAATTTGTAGCTCAGGTGGATGATTCTGGTGAAGATTCGTTCTCTAAGCTGGATATTTTGGTTGTAAAGCTTTCATTGTTCTTCTCCTGAACAACATCGTCATCACCAGCACAAACTTCTTCAGATAGAAGTGAAGTATTCGAATTTCTCCACGTTTGACCCGTAGCTTCTTCTGTTGACAGCAACCAACCAAGATCAAGGTTAACAGAACAAACTACCGGTCAAACGTGGAGAAATTCGAATACTTCACTTCTATCTGAAGAAGTTTGTGCTGGTGATGACGATGTTGTTCAGGAGAAGAACAATGAAAGCTTTACAACCAAAACATCCAGCTCAGAGAACGAAAAACCACCACAGCTAGGTCATAATCATAAAATTAATTTTTCTTCAGTAAATTATTCTATTACAAACAAATACCATAGCCACTCTTGGCTCACTCAGGTATTTTCTCATTCATTCCGTAGTGTGATGTAGTTTGGTATGTTTTGATATAAACTGTCTGTGTTTGAAGTATAACGAATCTTTTAGAAGATAGCCACGTAATTCTGATTGGTGTTTTTTTTATTTGTCACGTGATATTAGTCAACGGTTAGAGCAATACAACAGTAGGACTTTATTAATAGTGGCTATATACGCGTGGCCATGTAAGAGCATTTCTAGAAGGCTAGCGGCCTCTCTTCACTCTCGGTCGTGTCAGGGCATTTAGAGGCCTAGTAACCTACTCATCCAATAAAGATGTGTAACTAGATTGATTGATCTTAACTTTTTGAATAGAACATTTACTGTTCACTTTTCAATAACCTAAGCGCCTAATGTAATGAGATATGAAGAAATATCTGGAAAACGCGGAATCATGTGACATATCGTTACTATATTTAGTATGGTCGTCGAAGCTTGAAGGAGCTCAAGGTCATGAGTGAATAAATAAATAAATAAATACCCTTATTTTTCTGTTTATTAACTAACCTTGGAATGAAGCGTTCATCTTGAACTTCGCGCGTTCTGTCTTCTGTTCAAGTTGCAGTCTAGATTTAGTCTGGTGTTTTTAGAAGCAGATAAATAATCAGATTCTGTGTTCAATTAGCAGACTTACTAAATTCACTTTAAATAAACAGTTGGTAGAAATGGTTTTCTTGAATGCGAACTTTGAAACAATAAAAATTCTTTTACAAATAGATTATAGGTTGACGTTGCATATGTATATAGCCTTGTCTGATACCAGTCTTAACTTAGAACAAGTCTGTGATCTGTTCTCCGTGCATCATTTTCCGGTATACTAACTTAAAAGAATTCTGTATAATATTGACTATCTTTCCAGGTACACTTTAATTCTCTCCATTACCGCTAATAGTTCTAGTATCTCTACCACCCTATGGGATTTGAACTGACAATTGTATCCCTGTGCTAATACAGTATGACAACATGAATTCTGTATGTACACACGAAGTTCTACGTTGTAACTGACTATCTTCTCTGGTACACCGTAGTATTTAAAAAAAAACCCGGTCTCCATAATATACTTCTATTCGGTTAAAATAGGCGGGTTTTTAGGAATCGCATTAACAAACCATCAGAAGAAGCGATCACATTAAAATAGATATATATATATATATATATATATATATGTATCATAAATTTTTATTATTTCGTTTTTTGCCTCATTTATTGTTTGAACATTTTTGTGTAGCCATTCATTGTCTTAAAGTACTTTATTTATTGAAACTTTTATCGTTCATTGTTGTTTATTTGTTTAAATTTGTACTATTTCCCCTTTTTTGTGTGTGTTACAAAAATGGTTGTTGTTTAAATTAAAACAAACAAACAGAAAAATTGAACATTTAATTTTTAATGATCATAAAAAAATAACTGTTTTTCTTTTTTTGTTTTGTTTTGTTTTTACAGCAAATAATTCATAAAGCAACAAAATTGTGCCTTGTTATTGTTTCCACTGGTAAAAGTGTACGACTTACATTAAGTAAGTGTCATTATTTTTTGTTTGTTACAATATTCAAGTCTATATATTGTTTAAAATTTAAATAAATTTTGTTTGTTTTAATGGTAGTGTTGGTGATATAAAAAACTATATATACTACTGGTTTCTTTTGAAAAAAAATTTATATAACTGAAATAAAGTTCAAATGGTATTTTATTTTGAATATCAGTTCATGATTATTTTTCAATGCAGACATAGGTAGATGATGGTAGCTAGCAGTGGAATCTAAGACGGATGTTTAGTCTTGTTTTTAAGGGGCTTGTTAGCTGGATATACTTGCATTTCAGAATTGATTTTCACTCGCAGATTCAATACGCAGTAATGTTGGCTTCAAACGCCATCGCTTCATAGAGAAACCTTGATTGATGACATGGCTCAAAGCCTGTTTGCAGTGGTGCCTAATCATCTGAATTCCTCATCATTGTTTCTAAGTTCATTTCACTAGATCCTACTTCTCGAATAATATACGTGAACACTAATCTCTTTGATTGTTGCTAATACTTCTTCTACCTCTACTACTACTACTACTACTACTATGGGATTTGAATTGAAAATTGCATCACTGTGCCAAGTGGTATGGCAACTTCAACTGATGTACGTATGTACGAAGTTCTACGTTTTAACTTACTGACTGCTTCCTAGAGTGAACATCAGCTCTTGGATATAAGTTCGTCCAAACGACGAGTACCAAACAGAACGAAATGTACGTCCTGGATCGCATCGCTAACCTCTATCGATCTCTGCTCTATGACGCTTTTGACTTTTCATGGCAATATCAAGGCAATCCGCACAAGATGCACCATATACCAAAATAAGAGATCAGTGGTAAGAATATGTAGATGTTCGAGTCGAAAGACTATGAACACGTCTACAAACCAGTTACATTCCGTTTCCGAACGCTATCTCGTGTCTTGTAAGATTAAAAATAAAGGCAGGATAGTCTAGTTGAAATAAGTATATTTACTGGCGATTTCGTGGTATCGAAAGAATACCGAAGTCCTGTCAGAAAAAATGGGTGAAAGTTACAGAGCATCATAAGTAAGATGGCAATCGCACAGAAGGCAAGTGTGGTACAAAAGTATGAATAAAGAAAATTTTCGGTAAATACGCTCACTGGTACAATATTAGTTGTAATAATGAATTCTTCTATTTAACTAATCCTGTTTTTCCCCGTAAAAACGAAATCACTACACTCATTAATCAATCAATCAACAGCAACGTAGAACTTCGTACGTGCATCAGTTCGAGTTGCCATACCGCACATTAGCACAGATATGTTATTGTCAATTCAAATCCCGTAGTAGTAGATGTAGTAAAGGTATCAGTAGTAATCGGAGAGATTAAGTTTCGAGAATATTATTCAAGAAGTAGAATCTAGTGAAATAAACTTGAAAAGAAAAAGATAAAGTGATGAGGAATTGAGAAGGTTAGAATTTGAGAGAACACAAACAATGGATGCATCGGGGCTATTGCAAACTTTTCTGAACCATGTCATTCAGGGTCTCTAACCATCGGTGACTATCGTCTCGCGGACCCCAACCACGTACCTACATCTACCAACATGACTCAGTCCACTTGTCAGTGACTTCATGGATTTCTGCTATGTTTTGATTTGACCACCTCTAACTTTCTTCTAACCTACTCCTACACCACAAAACATAGCTTGTCGAGGCAGTCGGTGGTTAGGTATACGTAACACATGTCTCAACCACCTCAACTCATGAACATTCACTACTCCATCTGCTGATTTTCCATCTCCTTACCTAATACCCGAATAAAGAAAAGTAAAATAAAACACACTTAAATCTTCTCATCACATCATATATATATATATATATATAATTCATCTTATTTTTATATCC